CGGTCCCTGTGCTTTGCTTAGCTTAGCTTGTTCTAAGTAGGTGCTTTAGACCACTGAGCCATCTCACCAGCCCCCCACTCTAATTTTTAACAGCATATGCTCATAGCTAGATTTAAGTCAGCAGTGTGTGTGGTTTATATGTGGATCCTTTTTACCCTTAGTTAATGCTGACACATAAATGTCACCACCATCACTCAAAGAGTTTACTTTTCTGAACACTTTGTGTCGTTACCAAGTGAGAATATCTGGTGAACATGGGCTGTAGGTTATTTGGCTTTTTAAAATGGGCTTCAGGGGCTGGGAAGATGGCTCACCGCATAAGCACCTTCGTGGTGAGCACAAGGTCCTGAGTTTGATTCCTGGCACAAAAATAAAGAAATAAAGAAATAAAGAAAATGGGCTCTACAGTGCTGGAGACCTTGCGCGTGGAGGGCATGGGTCCTGAGCCCAGATGTGTGTTCTGCTCTTCAGGCCCCTGGGGAGGAATGGAAGTCCCTTTCGGAAGGCACTCCAGCATCCTGTGTGGTGGTCACTTGGGCTTCTCTTCTGGATCCTAGCCCTCCATCCTGTCCTCTGTCCCACACCAGCTAACCTCCTTAAGGACCCCAGGGGCCAGTGGGACAGAGTACACTCCTTCACACCCTTGAGCACACACACACACACACACACACACAGCTTAGGACCTGGCTTCTGGACAGCTCTAGTGTGTCTTGCTTGATGGACCACACCTAATTCTAATCTGTTACATTTCTTTCCATTTGGTCCTTAGTCTGCTAGGGAAACCGAATCCTGACCAGGCCAGCATGAATCCCTTCTGTCCAGGCCTTGAAAGACCTGACGCTGGTACTGATACCAATGTTCTATGTTGGGTGATGGAGGAGGCCAGGCCCAGAGAGGGTGAGCAACTTGTTGGAGGCCACAGAGCCAGGCCAGGCCAGAGGGGCTTCCTGTTAGGTTCTTAGCAAAGACGCTTGTTGCTGACCTAACTGAGCTGATGAACTCACCTGGCTCCCTTCATGGCCTTTGCAGATGCCAAGGGCACCATCCGAGAAATTGTCCTGCCCAAGGGCCTGGACCTGGACCGACCCAAGCGGACACGTACCTCCTTCACAGCCGAGCAGCTGTACCGCCTGGAGATGGAGTTCCAGCGCTGCCAGTATGTGGTGGGCCGCGAGCGCACCGAGCTGGCCCGCCAGCTGAACCTCTCCGAGACCCAGGTAAGAGACTAGGCCTAGGCCTCCCTCTGGGCTAGGCAGTCTGCAGACTCTCTGGGGACTGGGACTGTAGGCAGTGAGAGGAAACTGTTCTTTGGAGGAACTCAGATGTGGATGATGGAAAGACTTAAGGTGGACCAGAGCAAATACAGTGCTGGCTGGAGAATTGTTAGATGTCAAGGAGAGGGGCCTTCCAGGGGCATCGAGCTCCTTGCAGAAGGTGAGAAAAGCCAGAGGAATACGGAGCGCTCTGGGTGCAGGGGGAGGCTTAGGGAGATGTTGACATACAAGAGGAATGTTAGGAAGTGATGCTAAGGCGTTGGTTTGGTGGGAATAGGCTTTGGGGGCAAGGCTGGGCTAGGGGCCCTGTGGTCCCAGAATAACACAAAATAGATTAGGGGAGAGATGGGACCACCCAGTGGGGCTAGGCACCTCTCACTTCCCAGTCTGGGCTCTCTGTTACTGTCCATCACCTTCTGTTTATCTTAGTGTGCAGAGGAGGGTGTCTGGACACCCCTTCACCCAGGATGATCTGGTAGCTGCTGTCCTGCAGGATAGCTCATCTCCATGGACCTGGCTTCCTCTTATTGCCACCATAGGGCTCCCTCTGTCAGCTGTGCTCAGCCCATGGCTAAGAAGCTGGGCTGCAGTGGCTAGCCCAGGCCAGAGCTCTGGGGAAGGTAGAGAGACTCCACAGCCCTCCAGGCTGGGCACAGAGGCAGCACCTGCCCTTCTCTGTGCCATTTTTCTCCCAGGTCATCTAGTGTTGTCCTAAAGTCCCCCAGAAACTGCTCTCCAGGTGCCTTAGATACCCTGAAAGCAGAAGCTTCTGAGTGCTCATCCACCCCTTTGCCATATCTCCCACCCCGCATCCAGCCTTGGCCCTTGGATATCAGCCCAAGCCCCCGCTTAGCCAAGAGCTCCCTCTTCCCTGAGGTGCCTTGTCCTCATCCCAAGAGATATTTTCCACCAACCTTAAAGTATGTGTTTGTGTATCTGTGTGTTGTGATGACATCAACCAGTATGTTGTGTATTCTTGTCTCAAGGGCAAGAATGTGTTTGAAGGGGATTGTCCTCTTCAGGGAGCTGGAGGAGCTCAGAGCTAGGCACACAGTGGACCCTCACTTCCCTGTGGAAGCCTATGCCCTGCTTTCTTCCCTAACCCTGGCATTATGTAGTAAGATGAACATTGTATGGCCCACAATGACAGGACTTCCTGTGGGCAAGACCCTGTTCTTAGGCCTCACTTAAACTAACTAGTTTGTTTCTCTCCACAACCTTGTGGGCCCGGTGAAGTGTTCTCACACCACATGTGGCTGTGACCCAACACCACCAGCAGCCAGTTCTCCAGTTCTATGACACCAACTGCTTATCCATCCATTCCATTTTGACACTGATTCCCAGAGTTAACCCACACCTCAAAGGTCAAGAGTTCAATTGTGAGACACAGAGCCACTGCACATGACAGTCACAAGGCCCAGGTGCCATCTGCACTTCTGACTGAGTAGCTCTTAATTAGGGGCTTCCATGTCCCCTTCCTCACAGAGCAGAGGAAGACACATCACTTATCTGTGCTTTCTTACCACAAAGGACACAAATGAGGATCAGCCAAGCAGAAGAAATGCAAGGGGCAAGGGAGGAGGAGCTGCCCCTCTTCCCGGGTCCCAGTCTCCCAGCACTTCCACTCAACTTCCGGCCCCTCCCCTCCCTGAAGGTGGGAAGTACCAAAAAATGCCTGCCCTATGACCAAGTGGTTATTCTTTCTGGGATCAGCTTCGGTCCTAAAATTATCAAGGTGTCCAGAGTCACCTCATTAACATAAACTCCAGTGTAGTGGGAAGGAGCTTTTTGAGTAACTAAGACATTCCTTTCACTCAGGATCCTCCAAGGGTGTGAGTAGCTCTGTGCCAGGATCCAGGCCAAAGATCAGATGCTTTTTCATTATGCTATGATAAATCTATACTCAGAATAAACTGAGGCCTAGGAAATTTACATACCTTGCTCAAGACTTACAGCAGGCACATTCATTAGCTCCTTTAATCTTAGGAGAGTTGGCTTTATGGACACTATGATCCCTACTGGAGAAAACTGAGCCTCGGGGTAATGAAGTTGCCTAAGGTTATTCAGCTAGAATTCCATGGAATTGTTAGTACATTTATTCATCCACACTCCTGTTCAAAAATGTTGTTGAATGCTTGCTACCCGTCAGGTACTGTTCTAAGGTGTCAGGGTTATAGCAGAGACCAATGCAGACCCAGCACCCATTGTGTGCAGCTTACATCTATGAGGAGAAAGACAAACAGCACTTCAGAGTGATAAGTGCTATGAGGGACATAAAATAGGTAGATTCAGAGGAAATATTTCATTGGATGGTCAGGCAAAGTCTCTTTGAGGGGACCTACACCTCAGTGATTGGGAAGAGATAACCAGCAGAGGATGCAGAAGAGAAGTAACTGTAAAAACCTAGGAGTAACTATAAAAACCTAGGAGTGGGACCTGCATAGAATGTTCTAGAAGTCTCAGAAGGCCAGTGTGGCTGGTGTTGGAACAAGTTATACACTAGTTAGAACCTACAGTAAATGCTTGAAATGAGTGACATGAGATGATTAGCATTTTATAAACCTCGCTGACTGCCACCTGGAGTATGACTCACAGGGGACAAAGTGGGCCAGTTAGGGACTACTGACATGCTGTCTTGAGCAGAGTGGTGGGAGAGAGAAGCAGAATGATCTGAGGTATACTCCAACCCACGTGCGTAAGGGAAAGAAAGTGGTCTGGCTTGAACACTGGGGGAGATGGGAAAAGCCTTTATGAGCTGGTAAAGTCATAGGAGCTGGACAGGAACGGAATCAAAAGCAGAATCAAGATTGTGGGGGCCGGGGAGATGGCTCAATAGAGTGGGCACTTCCCTGGCAAGTGCAAGGGCCTGAGTTCAATTCCCAGTTCTGAAAAAAAAAAAAAAATTGTGGCTGGATCAGTTCTATTTGTGATCCAATGGAGACATCAAAAAGGTGCGTCAGATATTCTGAGGGGGATTTGTGTTCTCTTGAGCAGGGTTTCTTGGGAGAAAGGATGACAGTGTACTCCAATTACTAATGGATCACAACGGAATTTTTTAAAAAATGGATACTTGATTTTGCAGGCATTCAAAAAAGGAACCACAGGGCAGCTGGGCTTAAGAGAATATGAAAGTGCACAGTTCATTTGGACCTGAGGGCTCCACATGAGGGTATTCTCAGGCCTCTGTGGTGTTCCACTGAAGGCACAGCCCCTGCTCACCACGTGTCAGCTTCTGTCTCTGTCCTCCTTCCTCCTGCTGCCATCCAGTGCCTTCCCCCTTCCCTGGATACCAAAAGAACCTACTTAACTCAGGCAGGGAAGAACATGGAGCTTGCTCTGTACCCACTCTCATACTGGTATTTCTGGGCCCACTCACATCGTCGGGTCCTGTTGGGATCAGAGGCCCAGTTGCAGGAACAGCACACAGAGCAGCAAAGCCCTTCCTCTGCTCCCCACCCCCGACAGGGCTCTGCAGGAAGGTCCCTGCAGTGTCAGCAGTGAAACAAGGCAGAGCCAGCGAGCGAGCGGACCTCTGCCCTGGACCCTCCCAGATCCCGCAGCACCCAGCACAGGCAGGTTCTCCCGGAGCACCCTCCGCCCGGTTCTCACCTCCCCCACCCCCAGGGGGCTCTTGCTGAATGCTCCTCTCAATACCAAATGAGAACAGGAACAGGCTTGCTTGATTTTGGAAACCTTCTGATTTTAGAAACCTCTTGATATACTTTGTCACCATGTTTTGTTTTAAAAAAGAAAGTTGGGTGTTTGGTTAAAGCAGGGTATTTCATGGAACGCTTCTTGGTTCATGATTAAAAACAGATGATTATGCCACCTCAGCCCAGAAATTCCTGACCAGATTTCTAGAGAATTTATATTTTGCCACACAGGTAAAGCTACTGCGCAGCAATGTCTGAAAATCACTTGGTGCTGGTAACATGAGCAAATCTAAGAAGCTGATGTGGCAGACTTCACCCTGTGCCAGGCACTTTATGTGGTCATCTGCCCCTGGAGTCAGCACAGCAGTCTTCTGAGGATGCACTAAGATGATCCCTATTTTACTGATGGGGGACAGACACCAAGAGCTTAGGAAACATTCCCCGTGGCATGTTGCTGGTTAGAGGAAGGGCCGGGATTGGATCCGGGGCTGCCGACCTCAGGATTTCTCACTCTAGTCTTTGCCCCCTTCTATGAAAACATCCTGTAATGCTTGCTGACCTCCTGTGTCCCCTGAGGCTAGCATCTGAGAGGCAAGCGGGCCAAGATGGAGTTTTATTTACTTACATTTTTCAGCCCATGGCAATGCCTGGTGTGTACCAAATACTTGATATTTATGTGTTGTATGAGTGAGTGACAAGAGTTCCAGAGTCAGAGCAGAAAAAAAGAAAAGACGTGACTGGTGAGAAGGAAGAGGGGAGAGGCTGGCTCAGGAGCCTTCTGTACCCTCTGCCCCGGCAGGCCCAGGGGACAGGCTAAGAACAAATGCTAAGTCTTTGCATGAGATCTTCTCTGCCCAGCAGCAGCTGTCCCCATCCGTCGGGATAACAGAATAGAGAGTACCTTCCTGATGCAGGTTACAGAGCCCATGATCATTCCAGATATTCAGGTGCTGCTGTCTCAGATTTGTATGTGGGGCCAGGGAGATGGCTCAGTAGAATAAGCACTTCCCTGGCAAGCGCAAGGGCCTGAGTTCAATCCCTGGTTCTACAAAAAAAAAAAAAAAAAAAAAAAAATCAGATTTATATGTTCCCATGGTCACAAGGAGCAGTGTTGAAAAGATTAACACCACCACTTACAAATGAACAATGAGTCTTTGGATCTAACACTGATCGTGAGCCCAGAGAACATGGTGGATAATCCTGCAGTCCTCAAAACCGTGTCCCTGCTCTGGTATGCAGCGTTGGCCACAGTGTGGCTCAGAAGGGGATCACAATGTGAGCACTCCCTGGATCCCAAGCAATGGAGATGGCATTCTGAAGAGAGGCCACCATGAAGCACTCAGAAGATGATGGGGGGGGACACCTCAGGGAGCACACCACATTTCAGGATAGCACTGGGGCGGGTCATCTCCTACAGTCAGCCCAGAGTAGCTGCCTGGAAGAGGGACTGCACAGAGCCTTAAAGGGCCAGTACCTTTGGATTCAGGTGACACTGAAGGCTTCCTGGAGAAGGGACAGGCTGTCTGGGCCATCTGATGTCAGTCTGTTTCATGTCTGCTTAGGCTTATGAAGCAGCCCTGGAGACAACAGGGTTGATGGTGGGAAACAGAGAGGCAGCTCTTCTAATGTCTTTTCTGTTGGCTGGTCTGTTCTGTGTCCTACAGGGTTCCATAGGGGCGCTAAGTAAGTAATTAGGACTCTCCCACTCTGGAAGTTGGCAACAGCCACAGTGCCTTGGCACCCCCTCCCCCGCTTGAGGAGCTTTTTTTTTTTTTTTTTTTGCTCCTAATGCCTTCAGGGCAGGTTTGTCTGGCTTGAGTTCTGGGGATCGAACCACAGCAACCTGAGCCTGACTGCTTTGTTGAAGCAGCCACTTAAAGAACTGAGCTAAAGGGCAGGCCCCCTCAAGGAGCTTTCTAAACAACCTCACTGTCTCAGTCCCACCCTCTAGCAATTCTGATCACAGGGGTACCAGGTGGGACCTGGGCAGCGGAATTTACGAGAGTGGCCCCTGGTCATTCCAGTGCACAGCCCAGGTGAAAATCCGTGGCTAACTCATGCGTGCCAACAGATGACATACCAGGTCTCAGCCCCTGCCACCCGCCCTCACCCTTCTCTGCCTTCCCAAGGCCCACCTGCCCAGGAGATTGCCAAGCCCAGTGCCAGCCACACCCACTTCTCCTTGCTACACACGCACACAGTTGCACAAAGAAGGGTATTTTGGGGGAGAGCCTGTCCTGCTTGCTTTGTTATTCCACATTAGTCACACTTCTTGTCACTGCCACTCCCTTGTACCTAATTGCCATATGTTGGGAGTGGTTGGTGCCCTCCTTGCTAAATTCTCTCTTTCCCAAGGGCAGAAACTACGACTTCTGTCCCACTGGGGTGGGTGGACCACTGGGGTCCCCTGAAGGCGGAGGAACAAGCAAGACCTCCCCAAAATTCCCTCTGAGCCCTCTTCCCCACAGCTCCTACTCTTCCTCCTGGCACCTGCTGCCCCAGTGTGGGCAAAAGTTCTTGGGACATACGTCTAGGAGCTGCTGTGGTAGCAGCGACGAGGTGACAGTCTGACATGGTTGTCAGCTTCTGAGTGAATGCCAGCCCCCTTTCCCAGGGCACTTCCAGGACCTACAAGAGGTGCTTGCTGAGCCCTGCTCACTTGCCTTCTGTGGGGGGAGCTCACCCCCCTCTCAGAGATAGACAAACCTCTTAGGGTCTCAAGGGAGCAGCCCCCAGGGAACTGTGCCTTCCCTGCCTCCCTTACCTCATGCAGACTAGGAAGGGACTGGGGTGCTGGGCTGCCCCAGCAATGGCGAACAAGGTGTACCTCCTTTCAGGGACTCCAAAAAAGGTCTCTGCCCCTTTTGATGGCTCTTTTAAGAAAGTGGGGTACTTGGTACCTCTTGGCCTTAGCTTTGAGTATGTGGCTTTTGGAAGCTCTCTCAACAACCTGCAATATCCTGTCCCCCTTGGTGTTATGTTGAGAAACTTGGTCTTTACAGGAAATGGGGAGCAAGGGTCCACTGAGGTGAATGCCCAGGCTGCTTAGAAAGATCTCTCCCCATGGTGTGTGAGGGCTGAGGCTGGGGGCAGTGATGGGCCCGTCCTCAGACTGGGTACCTAGGCCCTGCCTTAGGCCCCATGTCTCGGAAGGTCCCACTTGGCCTCTGCTGGCCAAGTCCCTCCATATGGGGTGAGGTCCCAATGAAGCCAAGAGGTTGGGCCCACCTTCTCACCCACCCCCAGGTGACTAGGATTCCAGAGTCCCCTGCCAAGTGATACTTCTAGTGCTTTCCTTAGCCTCTTCTGACTCAGTCCTCCAAATAACAGCAGACACAGACATTATTCAGAATCCTAGAGAACACCCAGGAAGGGTTGTTTGTGCTCTGTGATCAGGTGGGAGTGCCCACACATGGGTGTCAGCGCCGGGCAGGCCACTGGCACAGACTTCCATTTGATCTTTTGCCCTGGAGATGTTGGGGCTTGGACCTCAGACAGAGAGACCTTTAGAGCCCTGGTTTTGTCACCCTGGGTCACCTGGCGAGCGGTAAAGATTGTGAAGCCTGGGTCCTGCCACCCCCGCCCCTGTGGCACTGGTTGGGTGAGGTCAGCAGTGAATGAGCTTTAAGCAAATTCTTCAGGCGGCTGTGATGCTGCTGCTGTAGAGACAGCAGTCACCTCTGGGTCAGAGAGGACAAGGGAAAAGAAGAGGGGCTGCACTGAGGACTGGAAGGGGTTTGTGTCCCCCCCCCCCAGCTTGCACTTGGGTGGATAGAGGCAGCCATGGTAGGAGATGTAACAGGAGAGGGGCTGCTGTTGGGAAGTTAGCCTGAGCTATCTGGGGCTGTCAGGGTGGAGTTTGGGGCCCTTGTGGGACATCCTTGGGGTGATGTCTCATGGGCAGGTGGATACCCAGCTTGAACCTCAGTTCAGAGACTTGGGCCTGAGGCTGAGCTGGGAATTCCCAGCACTGTAAGTGGTGGCTAAGTCTTACTTGGCCAGAAGCAGAGTGTGAAGGCCACGAAGGGACCTTCAGCATTTCAGCTGTAGCCCCAAACTCCACCTCCATCTGCCAGCCCACTCCTCCATCCTACTGCAGGGTCAGCTTCAGCAATGAAGGGTGTCCATCAACTGGGAACAAGGGTCCCTAATCTGATCACCCAGGGCAGGCTGGTGGTGAGAAGATTTAACAATCTTGATCTCACTCTTTCTCTGTGTGTCTCTCTCCTACTCCCCCTTTCCCTACCCTCCCCCTTTCCCTACCCTTCTCCCTCTCCCTTTCCCTTTCACTCTCTGTCTCCCTCCCCCCTTTTATGCCCCTTCCCTTGATCCCCATCCACCTTCTCTGCCCTGACCCACATTTCCTTTTCTCCTCCCACCTGCCCCACTTTGATTTGCCTGGCTTCTCCCCTTCCTCATCCACTGCCCCAAGGTGAAAGTCTGGTTCCAGAACCGCCGAACCAAGCAGAAGAAAGACCAGAGCAGAGACCTAGAGAAGCGGGCATCCTCTTCAGCCTCTGAGGCCTTTGCCACTTCCAACATCCTGCGGCTGCTGGAGCAGGGCCGGCTGCTCTCTGTGCCCAGGGCACCTACCCTCCTGACGCTGAGCCCCAGCCTGCCAGACCCACCTCCTGGCCACAGGGGCACCTCCTTGGGTGACCCCAGGAACTCTTCTCCAAGTCTCAATCCTCCGACCTCAGCCTCGGCATCCCCCCCGCTGCCACCCCCTCTGCCAGCCATCTGCTTTTCCACAGTCCCGCTTCTGGACCTGCCTGCCAGCTACGAACTGGGCTCCTCAGCCTTTGAGCCCTATAGCCGACTAGAAAGGAAAGTAGGCAGTCCTGGTGGCATTGGCAAGAAAGCTAACACATAAGACTCCCACCCCTATGTGACTCTGAGTCCCCAGCACTGCACTTCCCCAGCCTCCTGGCCCCAGAAGACTGCACTGAGCAGGCCCTTCAGGGAGGGCAGCCACTGCGCCCCTCCCACCTGCCCTCAGCTCAGAGACTCAACCGAATGGCCTTGGTCCCACAGCTTGTGTGTGCGAGTGCAGTGTGTGTATGTGTGTGTGTGTGTGTGTGCTGTGCATCTCTCACTGAAATAAAGGAAAAAAAGAGACAAGAAGGGAAACCATCCCTGCAGTACCACCTCTTTCCCTTCCGTTCCTGTCCTCACTACAAAGGAAAATGGCTTGAGAGCAAGGAGGTTCTCAAATGGGACAGAGTAGAACCCCGGGATCACAGGCAGCGCAGGGCATCTGCATGGGTGGCTCAGCAGGGCCCAGTTCCCACTCCTATCCAACCCCCGGTATGGACATCAGTGCTTTCTTGCAAGCTTCTCTTTCAAACTGGAAATATTTGAGAAGGAAAAACAGCCACATTCTCCAAGGGAATGAATGATGCAAGGTGAGAGCAGATGCGAAGAGAGGAGAAGGGCATGCTGGGTAAGCCCAGGCAGCCTTTGTATGCAGAGAGGGCCTGCCCTTGGCAAAGACTTCAACAGGAAGTACCTTTTTTTTTTTTTTTTTTCTCCAGAACTCCGGCCCTTGCGCTAGTGAGGGAAGTGCTTATTCCACTAAGCCATCTCCCTGGCCCAGGAAGCACTTTCTAAAAGGCTTTTTTGCTCAAGGTAGTTAGGTTTTATTTTGCAGTAACTGTAGGTTTATAGGAAGTTGCAAAGATAGGGCAGAGGAGTCTCTTCACAATTTCCTCTAGCGGTTGTATCTTTCAAAGCTAGTATAATATCAAACTGGGAAATTAACATTGGTATTGTGTGTTGAACTCCCTGTCATTTTATCAGCTGTGTAGACTGCAAACCCAGAAGGTAGTCAGGATGCAGAGCGGTTCCATCACCACGAAGATGCCCCTGTAATCACGCCCACTACTGCTTTCCACTGAATTCTGTGACAGCATGAACTGTGTTGGAAGAGCCAGAGCCCTGAAATAAGTCCTGAAATAAGCCAGAGAATGTGGGGTGAGGGTTGGATCGTTTGGGTTGGAAAAATGAACACAATTTCAAATTGGCTGCCTTGCTCGAGCTACCTGGAATGGGGTGCCACATGATGGGGGTCCTCACAACGGCACCTTGTCCTTCCCTCTACTCAGGTGATAGCACCTTGGTAAGTGCTTGCACTATGGGAAACCCAGAATCTGGAATGAAACACCTGGGCACCCAGGTGACCTCGGGTTGGGCCCAACCAGCCACTCCCCTGCGTCCATTCTGCCTGGCCCACCTCACCTGTGCTATCTGTTGGCCCTGAAGAAACAGAAGGGCATGAAGGGGGCGGTCAGTCTTGTGCAGAACACAGGTGAGGCTGTGGGCATAGCTTGATTTGGGATCCTAAATATTTAGATATGCAATATGTGGGCCTCCATTTGGGCTCTAGCCTGGGCTGAGGACATCAGGGTCCGAGGGGCAGACTGAGAAACCAGCCCTGGTTCTCAGTCTTAAGGAGCCCTAGGTCTGATGGAAAAGATGTGGGCTGAGCTTGGGGTTCACACCAGTGGCAGTATTAGAGACCTGTTCTAAGGTGGGTGCTGGGGCATCCTGGAAGGCTTCTGTAGGAGGAGACAGTGATACTGGCCAGGAGAGAATCTTTGACAGATGTTGGGAAAAGATGGTGATAGGAGTGATAGGATTGTGTAGGGCAAGACATGCAGGCAGGGGGCCAGATTGTGCAGCCAGCAAGGAGAGGGCAGCCTGCATGCCAAGACCAAGAAGCCCTATGGCTGTGGGATTCACACTCACTGTGGGCGGTGGGCTGAGGGTCAGCCAGACGCAGAGCTTGGAGAGGCCGCATTCCTGCTCTTGGCTTCTCCCTCACCACTCTCCAGCTCCCAGGTAGCCAGCCACCTCCCAGGTCTGCACACGCTGAGCCAGCTTCCCTGTTTACAGTCAGCTTGGGGGAGGAGTGGAGAGGGGAGGAAGGGGAGGGGAGGCCGGAGGCTCAGGCTGGGCAGTTTGTTCCAGCTCCAGCTGGGCCCAAAGTCTTCAGTCCCAACCTGCCACCAGCTTTCTCAGGCACAGGCTCCAAGCCACCACTCACCATGGCTCTGAAGGTAGACAGCAGGGCCCCAGGACTCCCCAGCAGTGGCTGTGACCCAGGCATGGAGGCCCGAGAGCACATGCAGGCAATCACCAGAAACTACATCACCCACCCCCGAATCAGTGAGTATGGGCCCCACTGCGCTGAGGCCAGGGTGGGGAGCTGTGCTGAGCTGGCTGTGGAATCTGAAGTGCTTCTGCCCTGGGAAAGAGGAGACCTAGAGACTAGGGAGCTCTCCATCCAGTGGGACAGCCTGCAAAAGGGGTCACCTGTGAAGGTGGAGGGGTAGAAGGCAGGACCCAGGCCACCCACGGGAGAGGGCTGAAGTGGCTGTTTCACCGCGATCCTGCCTCAGACACTTAGGTCCAGAAACTGCTTCCAACTGCCCCTAAAAGAGAAAGGGACAGAGATCACATGTGTGTGCATCCTCCCATGAGATCGTGTGTGTGTAATTGTGTGTAATATGCACCAAACACTCAGCCCAACCTAGTGTATGATAAAGTGGACTTAGGCTAACAGGTGTGGCGATGTAGGATATGTGAGCATTCTCAGCATGAGGAAATGCGTGACTGTCAGTGGTGCGTGCAGCTTCTAGGCCAGGGAATCTGTGTACAGAAGCAGGTAAGGGCTGAGGCTGGAGGGTGTGTTTCCACTTCCGTTTGGGGGGGAGGAAACGAGTGTGTGTGCGTGCATACTTGTGTGTGCTTGAACACACAGAGTGAAGGTGAGTGTGTGCTTGAATGTGGTGTGCAAGTTCAAGGGGGGAGCACATGGGAGCTCCAGGTTGGGCAATGCCCCATGTCTGAGTGTGGCAGTGTGTGTGTGTGTGCAGTTAGGGCAGGGTGCTGGGCACAGGAGTGAGTATATGCACACAGGTGCTGGGGTGTCCCCTTATAAGCTTCTCAAGGACCTTCTGTGCCTGTTCTACAAGAAGGGGCCAAGTCCCACTGCCTGACAGAGGACCTGGCAAGCTGCAGAGGATCAAAGGGAGCCCCCAGTGTCCTTGTCCAAGGTCATTCTACCTGGTACAGCAAATTCTTAGACCATCCAGCTCGATGAAGCAAACCAGCCTGGCCAGCTGCAGCTAAGCAGAGCCAGAGGCTTCTCACAGGGTATATGGGGTGAGGGGAAAGAACTTGACGCAGCCATCTTTTCTCCCTCCCTCTCTGGGCAGCCACCAGTGCCACCCAATCATGAATGAGATGGCAACTATGAGCTTAGCTCAAGGAGCAGCACCCCTAATCCCCAGTATGGGGCACCTGCTGAGGCCTGAGACAGGTGCTGGGGTGGAGTGCAGAAATGGGAGAGTGGAGTGGGATCAGGTTTCCTACAGAGGTCCTGCAGGTCCTGTCTGTGGAGGCGGGAGCGGAACAGCAGCTCAGATTCCGCTGTGCCAAAGCTAGAGCCGCCAAGGGCTGTAAATAAGCCGTGATTTGGACTCAGTGGGCCCAGCACTCAGGACTGAAGCCCGAGTTGGGGAGGCTGATGCCCCTTCCCACATGGTAACACTCCCTGCAGGCTGGCTCCATCCACCTGTGGGGACAAGAGAGGGTGCAGTTGGGCAGGGTGTGGAGTCTGGACCTACAGGCTCTGTTCCACTTTTTGGGAATGCACCCTGGAAGGCATTCTCCAGGTACAGCCTCACCAACTGTCACCTCCCCCAGGCAGGACTGTACAGGCCTGGAGCAGCCTCCAGCCAGTTCCCTCCTTATTTACAGTCAACATCTGATAGGTTCCAGGCTGGAACCCAGGAGCCAGGCTGGAGGCCAGGAGCAAGTGCCTGAAGGTTTAGCCATCTTTCAGGATGGCTGCATGTGGCTCCCAGCCAGGCCACTGTATTCTCATCATGAAGTTGCCCCAGAGCCCAGGCCGGTGCAGGGGCTTGATGCCTTCACTCTGCTGCACATGACAGTGTCCTCAGAGGCTACGCAGGGCCACCCTTCCTTCTATCCTTTTCCCTTCTGTCTTCCTCAAGTGACTGAGGGGTGTTTCTCTGAGGATGTGGACAGGCACAGGAGCAGGGACAATCTGAACATACTCTCTCCCAATGCTACCCTCCCTCCCTAGACTGGAAGGCAGACTGCATGTCCCTGTCTGCCCTTTTTCCCAGTCTGGCCTGCTACCCTGGGATGCTAAGACCTTTCCCAGGCTGCCCAACTCTAGGTAGAGTTCTAGACTACAGGGTTAAAGCCCTAAGGCTGCCTTGACCATGGGTAGAGAAGCTGTCCCCTCCTGCAGGAGGCAGAGCTGACACAATGAAGGCCAGAAGGTTGTCTGTCCCTGCAGTGGAGGGAGCTGTCCAGAAAGTGGGAGCAGGAAGCATCAGGATGGGGCTGAACATCAACAATGTCTGCCCTGGGAAAGAAGCTCCCCTGTAATCTCTCGCGGAGCTAGAGTTGTTCCCCTTGGGCTCGGTGGGGAGGAGGTGGCATAGAGCTTCATCTGGGTGTTTAGGCAGATGATGCCAGGCTGGGGAGGGGGTACAGTTTGGGCAAAGGTTCACAAGGACAAACTGACAGCCTGGTTGGAGGGACAGAGCCAGGTGAGACCACCCAGGGGCTTTCAGGCCAAAACACTAGCTTGCTACCTAGCCTCAGTTTCCTCAACTGAAAGGGGAGGAAACCACAGGGTCTTAGGCTGATTCTAAGACCTCTCAGCCTCCAGTGCCTGCCCTCCCTCCCTGAATCTCCGCTGCAGCTGGGATCAGGGAGGAGGTACAGACCTGCTGCCCCGGGCTTGCCCCCACCCGGCCTCACGCATGGGCGCCTGCCTCAGCCCTCGGGACGCTGCAGGTGTGGCTGGGCCGGCGCTAATTAGAGCGCCATTGTGGAGCCCTGCTGAGCTTTTGACTGGGCCAGCAGCAGGGAGGTGGGGGTAGGGAGGCAGACCACTGGCCTGCAGCCCAAAGTGCAACCCAGTGTCAGCAAGGACAATGGAAAGGGTGGCAAGCATCTGGGGGAGGCCCATTGAGGGAGTGCCCCTCAGGTCATCTGAGCCAGCTCTCTGCTGGCAGCTCGGCACCTCTTCCCCTCCAGGGTCAAGGGGGGCATCCAGGGTTGGGTAGTGGCCGTAATCCCTGAGTACCACAAGATACTGTCCTGAATTGTGGTGTTTCCTGGGAACGGTCAGCAGAATCTTGGGGCCTCAGTTTGCTTCTCCATGCAACGAACACAGAGCCCAGGGTGAACGCAAAGCAAAGGCCTCCCTGCCAGTCAAGGTCGTCTTTGCTGCTCAGTCACCTTTGTCAGTCAGTGTACAAACCGCAAGGACAGCGCTAAGAAAAGGTCTGGGCCAGTTTCAGAGGAGACACACACTTGAGGATGTCAGTGTGCAGCCCCCGCACGTGTAAAAGACACTTAGAAGCAAGGCTTTGGAGGGTGTGGGTAGTCCAGTGTCAACCAGAATCAGCTACCTGAGAGGGCTTTCCACCTTGAAGGCTGGAGACGAAGACTAATGTCACTCAGCCACATTAGGAATCCCACCTAGAGCCAGGCAAGCAGGCTGCTAAGGCCGCGAAGGGAAGGCAGCGCAGAGCAGGCTGAGCAGGCTGGTGCGCAAAGGCCGCGGACACCGTGCGCTCTGGGCTGGGGGCGGTCCTCCACCCAGCCTTCCTCAGAGGAGAGTGGAGAAGCTGGAGCCCGGAGAGCGCTGAACCGCAGCCCCTAGGTGCCTCCAGAGCAGCCCGCCTCCCTTCCAAGCGTTCCTCCTCTAATCCTGTATCCTCCAGCCCCGCTGTCCGCGTCCCCCACCCCCACCCCAGGTAGAGTAGTTGGACATCACAGCTAATGGGGCTTTCTTGTGACAGGAGCTGTGACCTGCAGGGAGGAGGTGGAATTGGAAGCAGTTCCCTGGGGCTTTCCGCCTTGGCCCTCCCCCTCCACATCGCCCTCTTCCCAGACCACCCACCCTGCTTCTTTTTACCCCAGGTTCGCGGCTTTCTTGTCCCATCTCAGTCCTTTGGCAAGTCCCGCGTTTCTCTATGGAGCAGCAAGATGCTGACCCTTCTGTGGGGCTTTTAACAAGTGGCCGCTGCTGAGGCCCCTGCTGGCCCCGGGGTCGCAATTCACTCCTCTTCCGGGTGCTACTGTGCTGCCTGCCTGCCCGCTTCGTGCTTTCCGCAGCCTAACCCTAATGATCCAGGCAATTGGATCGGGATGCCTGGTCAGATTATGTGTGGCTGTTTGGCAATTTTTTCCTGCTGGGGAAGGTGATGCCCGGGCCTCTGCCCACTACCTTCCCCCGGGGGGGTCTCTCTGTGCCTGCCACCTCCGCAGCATTATGTATCCTCTTTCTAGTCTTTTCTACCAATCTTCAGGGGAAGCAGGCAGGGTTTAGAGGTTAAAGCTTCAAGCCAGGCAAAGGTCGTTTGGGGGCTGGGCAAGCAGGCCTCACTCTGGTTCTGATGTGGGACAAGGGAATGAGTTGGACGAACCTGTGAGTGTTCCCCATAATTCATCCACTAAACACTTGGAGAGCCTCTATCATAGGCCAGTAGGGTTCGGAGAGGTGGGTGCGACAGTGAGCTCAGTGGAGGACTGCCGCTGTCCGGGAAGTGACCTGTCTCCTGCACTGGGAACCAGCCTGCACGGGTCGCAGCTCTGCCCTCTCCCTGGTCTCCCAAGGCACCAAGGGTGGGGCTCTTTCTCACCTCTGAGCTGCTCAGTGCCCTGTCCCACACCTCGAGGGGGCTGGACAGCACCACTTGGGTGGCACTCAGGGCACAGCTCAGAAGGGCCTTCCCAGGCTGGTGCTATGGAGCATGCCTGTAATGCCACCACCCCAGGAGGCTGAGGCAGGAGAATCACATGTCTGAGCAAAACCTGGCAACTCAGTATTTTAGCCAGACTTGTCTCAAACTTTTAAAAAATAATAATACACTTAAAAGGATCTGGGAATATAGCTCAGTGTGAAGGCCCTGGGTTTATTCCTCCGTACAGTTGAGAGGGAGAGAGGGAGAGAGAGAGAGAGAGAGAGAGAGAGAGAGAGAGAGAGAGAGAGAGAGAGAGAGAATATGAAGGAAGGAAAAATGAAAGAAGGCACCTTCCCACAAGGCCCTTCCTTCCCTGAGCGCTCAGTCTTGGCCCCTGACCCATCTCACTCACTCATCATGTTCTTTCCCTTCTTAGCACCCACTACAGTTTGTGATTCTATTTCTTCTCTATCCTCTAGTTCAGATTACAGACTCCATGTTTTATTTGCCACTTTTATTCACCTACCCAATATGAAGAAGGCATCCAGTACATGTGGCAAATTTGGTAGTTCATGCCCGCAGTCCCAGCTACTGGAAGATCACAAATTTGAGGCCAGCCTGAGCAACAGGCCAAGACCCTGTCTCAAAATGATAACAATAAAACACTCCTGAGGTTATAGCTCAATAGAGCAGTTGCCTGCATGTGCAAGGCCCGGGTTCCATCCCCACTACTGGGGAGAAGACCTTTAAAGAAATGGAAAGAGGAGGGAAGGAAGACCCTGGAGGATAAGGGAGTGGAAAAGAAGCCATGCTGCCTTCCCAGAATCCCGAGGGGTACCTGGGGGTGGGGTGAGCAGGCAGAGCAGATCTCTCAAGAGGAGGAGCACACCCTGCCTCCAGTGGAATGTGCTGGGTCACTTGGAGGTAGCAGTCAAAAGGCTGGGGTGGCCTCTAGGGAAGGCAGCTGCCAGGAGCAGATTGGAGAGGGAAGAGGAGCAGGTGGGGAAGGCAAGAGACTCAATGGAGAGCAGGCCCTGGAGGAGACACCAGAGCTTGCCTGGTGGAAGAGCACAGGGGTGGAGGACATTGGCTCCTCACCCAGGAAGGCACCTCTAGGGCCTGAGTCTAAGTGGCGGGGAGGGCAAGAAGGTGGGGCCTTCTTGGAGGGATAGGGAGGAAGGAAGGGCAGCTGGGTAGAGGGGGCTGAAGGTGGACGGAGGGCAGGGAATTGAGAGAGCGCCAGAGGCCAGAAGAGCTTAAGGCCTTGACTGCTTCAAATAGTCCTTATACTGAGGGGAGCCTAGCAAAGACTTGTGTAAAAATACCTTGTCGAGTCAAATTGCTTGGGGCCCTTCCTGGTAAGAGGAACTTTGATGGGACAAAAAACAGAGTTTGATCTGAGAAGCCCAGACTGGGGAAGATTGGGCAAGAAGGAGCTTTGGGTTCTCTTTGGCATTGCTGGCTTGGGGTCAGGCATAATTAGAAGCAGAGTAAGGCCACACCAGGAGCCGGTGTGGTCTCCTGAGAAGTACAAGGGCAGGCGGGCCCATCCCTGGCTCTGCCACAATCATCTGTGTGGCCCTGGGTGAGCTTTTCCCTTTCTGGGCCCCATCTCCCTGCCAGCCTGAGTGACCTAGCACTTCCTATCCTGCCTTGCCAAGTTCCTTCACCTCAGGGGTGGCTGGGTGTGGCCTAAGAACAGAGGGAAGGCTATGGTACCTGGGCCCATCCCAGGGTCCCTCAGGCAGCCTCTATGGGAGCCAAAGCCAGGCTTCCTGGATACCAGTTCATGGCTGCTTCTGCTGAGGCTAGCAAAGGCTAAGGGCTACCCTAATCCCACCTGGTGACTGAGCTCATTCCCATCCATGAGTCTCTCCAGCCACTAGGTCCATCAACATTTCTTCCTTCTTCCTGTCTATGCCCTTTCTGCCCCACCCCCAACACCCAGCAACCCAAGGGAGCCGAGGTGCCTCCCCACAGACCTAGGCCTGGTGGAGGGCAGAGGCCCTGTTTGATTTCATTCAAGCAAGGCAGCACAGCCCCCCTTTCCCTCCCACAGTGCTCAGTCAGTGAAGGGTGGATGGAGGGAAATGTGGGCCTGGGGAGGGGCAGAGAAGGGCACTTCTGGACCCCAGCTGGGGGCCAAAGGCCTTTGGAAAACGTTGTTGAGTCTGAGAGGAGGGGGTGTGTGAGGTGGCGGTTGAGGCCAGCTGGGGAGGGCTCTGAGGAGACCTCTTCCCTAGACAGCCCTCCTGCAGCCTCCTGCAGGTGTCCAAGGCTGTGGGGGGCCCTGTGGGCAGGGGCATGACCTTTACAGCAATGGTGGCTGGTCCTGTCACAGCTAATGACCCTGATGGCCCAGACTGCTGAGGAGGTGGGGAATGTGTAGAGGGAGAGAAGGCAGAGAAAGGATGCCTCTGTGTGTGTGTGTGTGTGTGTGTGTGTGTGTGTGTGTGTGTGTGTCTGTCTGTCTGTCTGTCTGTCTGTCTGTCTGTCTGTCTGTGTCTGTGACCAACCTGGAGCATAAGGTTCATAGGTGAAGGTGCAGTGGGGAGACCTTCACCCACTTCCTTCTCCTCCCAAGCCTACAGGACCGTGTGCAGTGTCAATGGGCCCCTGGTGGTGCTGGACCAGGTCAAGGTAAGACTCCTCCGCCTCTTCCCTGGTCCCAAGCCCAACCCAGGGCTCCCCTCACTCTCACAGGATTTCTTCTCAACTGCCCCGCCCCTGGGTGGCCAGGGCCTGCCCACCTCCATCATGGACTCCCACACTTTCCTCTACCTGGGGCTCCAGGTACCCCGAGCTTTCCCCACCTCCCTATTCCCCCCAAACTCCCCCTGGAGGCTGATAGGCCCCATTTCAGGCACTGAGAGTCCCACCCTGCCTCGCATCAGCAGCAGCAGTCTCAGCCTCAGCAGCTGGGTTCTCCCCACCTCGATGCTCACTGGGGAGGAGGAGACAGAGGCTGGTCAGTGCCTGTCTCTCCATGGCTTGATGGTTTCCAAAGAGCTGGGACCCTCTCAAAGTCAGAACCAGCCACAGGGTTGTTCAGCATCCCGGAACTGCAGGAACCAGCAGGCCCTGGCAGCACCGCAAAGCTTGGTGTGGGGGACCGAGGAGCCTTAAAGGGTCCTGCAGAGAAATGGGATCATGGCTGTCCTCCAGCTCCCTGCCTAATCCCCAGAAGCAAACTGAAAATGGGGGTGCCACCTTGATCCCTTGTCCTGGTCCCCACTCAGCCAGGGCTCTCACCCTCCTGCTGCTGGATTAGGACGCTGGCCTTGGGTCCCCGCGGCACCCTCCCTTCTCTCCCCCCACCCCCAGCCTTTAGGACCTGTTCCCCTTCACATTGTGTTTCACATTGTGTTTGCGCAGGCCTCAGTGCCTTCTCCTTAAAGGCTTTCTCTGGATGTTCTGCAGACCTTTCTGCTTACCCTTCCCTTTCGTCCTTTCCCACTACCGGAAACCCACCAGGCCTCCGTAGGGACCCGCCAGCTCAGGCCTTCGCACGTACTTTTCCCTCTGCTTCCAAGACTCACCTTTCCCAGTTCCCCTCTGGCTCATCCCAGATCAGAGAGGTCACCTTTGCCCAGATGCCACTCCCTGCTCCTGGATGCCGAGCCTTTTCCTCCTCTCCACACTGCATCTGTCAGGCATCTCCGTACCCCTCCCCCACACTCACTCTGCAAGGCCTGCTGGGCACTGCTGGGCACATGCTTAATCCCTGGCACCAGGAGCCCATAGCGATAGCACTTTTACTGAACACCCAGGCCATAGTGGTGCTCAGTGGGAAGAACAAGTAAGTTAATGAGATGAATGAGTAAGTGTCAGCCTGACTAGCTGTGGACCTAAGCCCACTCTCTTAAAGGAAAACACACTTCGGAGCTAAATGGGATGGTGCACGCGGATAATCCCAGCACTCAGGAGGCTGAGGCAGGAGGACCACTGTGAGTTCAAGGCTAGCCTGGGCTACAGAATGAGTTCAAGGCCAACTCTATCTCAAAGAAAATTTTTTTTTTAAAAAAAGAGAAAAAGAAACCACAACTACTAAAACAGATTTATAGTTCAGGCCCATTGCTAGCACACAGATTCCAAGATCAGAGGACCCTCGCTGCTTGGCTCATTCTTTGTGTGAAGGACAGCCCTGGAGGAAGCGTGGCTAGGGAGTTAAGAGGGTGCTTACTGGGAGTCTGAAGAGTCAGACTTCTTGAATGTATGTTTTTTCTCATTTTAAATACCTTTGTTATGAAAAGCAGCATGATTTTGTTTTGAAAGCCAAATTGCCACAATAATAATAATCTTAAAAGACAAAGGGGGGCACGCCTACAATCCTACCATTTGGAAGGCTGAGGCAGGAGGACTGTCAGTTTAAGGCCAGCCTGGGCTACAAAGTGAGTTCAAGGTCAGTCTGAAATGCATAGGGACACCCTGTCTCAAAAAACCAAGACAAAGAAAAAGATAATTCTGATCTATGAGGAACATTTGATTGGCTCTTTTTAAAAAGTTGACAGAGTTGTACTTATTTATGGGGTTGAGTATTACAATTCATACATGTGTACAATTAATCAAATTGAGATAACATCCCCATCCCCTTAAATAGTATAATGCCTCCAAGTTCTTCTCCTCTAGCTGTTTTGAATTAATAATGAAGACTTCTTGAGTTAAACCCAGGTCTATCCACTCTTTTCTACTAGCTCCCTGCCAACCCTAGACCAATAGCTTCAATGCTACCTGGGAACTGGTTCGAAATAATGATTCCTTGGGCTCCACCTCAGACTGCAGAATCAGAAACTCTGGGCTGGAGCCCAGACGTCTGTTCACACAGCCCTCCAGGCCTGAGAAACATCTACGTGGGATTGTAAATCCCACTTCCCTCATATATTAAGGATAATAAGGTTGGCTTAAGGATCAGATCAGAAAAATGTATTATTCCTCCCCTGAGAACAACAGCCAGTTATAGGTCTGCCTTATTAGCAATCTAATGAACCTGATTAAGCATAAACATTTGGCACCGGCATCGGAGCCACACCCACCAGCCTGAGCGCGGCTGGACAGGGGCAGACAGTGGCCCCCATGCAGGCGGCCGTTTCCAGCTACAGGATGGGGGCTAGGCTAGGAAAGAGACCCGCAGAACTGCGGCTCTGTGATTATGGGACGCCTCTGTAACCCAGCCAGGGTTAAGATAACTGGGTGTCGGAAATGCCCAGAGACTCCTAGGCTTGCAGGGCAAGGGAGGAAAGGATCGGTAGCACACAGCCTCACAAAGTCCGGGCAGGGAGGTACTGCTATGTGCCCCTCACCACTGGCCCCCCACTTTTAGAGCGGCTGGGTCAAAATGCAGCTACGAATTCTGTCACTACAGAGCCACCTTCTGCCTGTATTGAATCGCACGGGGCAAATATTCTTGCTGATTCCATTTTTTTTTTTTTTTTTTTTTTTTTTTTTTTGCGGAACCGGGGATTGAACTCAGGCCCTTGCACTTGCCAGGCAAAGATTCCATTTTTCTCAAAGGGAAAAATATGTTGGAATAGAATATAATGTAGATCAGACGTTCTTAGGCCATGACATTAGGCGCTTGAAACTGTAAGCAGCGCGTATTCAAGTGCCCGTATTTTCTCTGGAGGGCGTTTTCACAGTTTCGTGTGATTGTCCAGGGTTTGTGACCCAGAAAAGTCTGTATCTGTGATTTGTGCAGCGTAGAAGCAACCCTCCCGGATCAATCAACACCCCAGCCCTGACCGCACAAGAGCGCACATCCGCATACGTTCCTAAGCTCTCAATAGCTCACACCCTCGCCTGTTCCCACACCCTCATAAGTTAGCACTCACTGCGAACACTCTCAAACTCACACAGGGTACTGAGCGCGTTGAGGAGGAATCTGGCTCTCTGAGACTCACCTAGAGAGATTTCATTAGCGCAGGGCTTCTCAAACTCGAACTTGCAACAGATTGCTAGGCTCCCCTGGGCCAAAGTTCTGGTGCAGGAATTGGGCTGGGGCCCAGAAATTTGCTTTTTTTTTTTTTTCCCCTGTACTGAAGATTGCACCCCAGCCCTTTTTTATTATTTGAGGTAGGGTTCAAGCTGAACTTGAACCCATGATTCTCCTTCCTCAGCCTCTCTGAATGCTGGAATTACAGGCCTATGTCAACTACCGTGTCCTTCTGGCTGAATATGCATTTCTTACCGGTTCCTAGGTGGTATGCAAGTTGCCCTGAGGTCACACTTTGAGAGTCATTGTTCTAGCTCATTTCCTAATTCCTATGCTCTGTGAAGTCAAATAGTACTTGTAGTTGTGTATGGCTACAGCATTGCCTTATTCCACTCTTGGACCACCAGACTGGATCCTAAACAGCTAAGACTGCTCTCTGATACTCGATATCACCCGAGCCAGTTTCCAAAGGACAGTTCCCATGCTGCCTCGCAGTCCCGTAGGGGAAGCCGCGGAGGCCAGCACTCCCTTGCAAAGCCCTCCTAGCAGCCTTTCTCGGGACTTCCTCTTGTCCCTGTGTACACAGCAGCCCTCCCGGGCCTGGCCCTTGCTGACGAGTGGGGGCCATTGAATGATCCCCGGTCCCTGCAATCCTCTTAGTAGCAAATAGGGAGAGTTGATAGGATCAGGCTTGCCCAGTCTGTACCCGTGAAACAGGGCTCCTCGGAGCATAAACGCACTACTGCAGACTGAAATTGCCCCCCCCCCACCCACTGCTCTAACTGATAAGGAGACACTCCCTTTTCCCCAAAAAGCACCCCTGTACCCATAATGCTCAGCGTACTCTTCCTAAAGGATCTAAGTCTATTTCTAAACATCGCATTCTAGGCAAGGTGTGACGGGCCAGGTGTGTTGCGCTTGACAATCCTGCACAACCCTCTCCTCCCGGCGCCCTCTCTCGCCCACATGAGCTCACATAAAAATGGTCACCTTTCATCCCCTTTCTGCCGGGTTTTATTGCGCCCATCACTTGATGTCTTAAGGGACTACCGTGGCCTGAGCTCTGTCCAGCAGTTTTCCTCCTGGAGTTAACAGCCCAGCATCAACTCCAGTAGGGCGACAAACGCCCAGGCCAGTGGCGGTTTCAGATGGAGACACAGCCGGCGCAGAGCCGAGGAGGCCTACGAGCCGGAACTTGAACCCTGCAGCGTCTTTCCGCAGAGCTCGCCTTTCTTGCTCTTAGGCGCCCTCTTGTGGTGAGAACCTGGCGTGGCTGGGCATTAGCGGCTCCAACCGTCTCAGGGCGGGTCTCCCCTTGAGCCCACACTCCGCAGGCCCAGGGTAGGAGGGGATAGGGGAAGAACAGGGACACTTCCCTGCCGTCCTCTTACAAGACAAGAGGGGCCCTAGCCAGAGCATCTTCCAGTGTGGTCGGATGTTCCACCCCCGGGACCCCACCTGCGCACACTTTCTTGGGGAACGGGCCACGTTCCCTTCTCCCCAGGCCCTCAAGGTGTCTGCTCTGTGCTCAGCAGGGGCAGGATGAGCGTAAGGACGTTGGCGATCACCTCCGCAGTATGTGAGTGGGTCCCCAGATTTGATTAGCTTTTAGTTACAAAATAATGCCTGCTCCTTATAACTATAAAGAAACACAACGTATAAAGCTAGTTGCACGTCCCTATCCCCCTCCCACCTCCCCGGCCCCCAGATA